AGGATTTTTACTTGTTCATCTTCAATTGTGTGGTTTGTTTCTTTTAAGTGTGCGTATACTGCACTTTTGTTATCATTGTTTTTCCATTTGTGTTGATAAAGTCTTTTCTTGAGTGTTTGTTTGGTTTCTCCGATGTAATGTTCCTTGCACTCACTTTCTTGGCAACGGATGGAATAAATCAGATTGCATTTTTGGGTGTTAGGAACCCGGTCTTTGGGGTGTACTAGTTTTTGTCTCAATGTGTTTATCGGTTTAAAATAAACAGGAATATCATGTTGTAGAAATATTCTTTGTATTTTCTCTGAGAGGCCGGCAATATAAGGTACACAGACACCCCTTCTTCACGGAGACTTCAGGGTTGTCTACCGCTGACGAAGCTTCTGTGAGAGAAGCGAAACGTCCTTTTTTGTTTTTTGTTTTTTACCCACAGGTACAGATGACGACTGACAGAACCCTTTCTACGATGGAACTTTCCTGTACGACTGAGAGCCTCCACAAGCATCAAGGGTAGAAGTACAAAGTAAACTGAAAAATAACTACTTGAGTCAAGTATCGATACCCCAAATTTAAGTTCGGTAACAACGTGTATTTACTTTGTTACTCGACACCTCTGGTTACAACATCATTATTTCACTTTGTGTTATCTTAGTGGTGAAAGCGGTGCAGGAAAGACGGTGGCTGCCAAGTACATCATGGGCTACATATCCAAAGTATCAGGAGGAGGTGCAAAGGTTCAGGTAGGCCCACTGACTTCAATTTGGCATGTTCTCCTTCTTGCAGCACGTCAGCGTTGTAACTGTCTCTTTCTCGTTGTGTTGCAGCATGTAAAAGACATCATCCTGCAGTCCAATCCTCTACTCGAAGCCTTTGGAAATGCCAAAACTGTCCGCAACAATAATTCTAGCCGCTTTGTGAGTAAAACCCTCTGATAGAGAACCTGAGCTTGAAGGTGATAGCGCCCCGGTGGGCGCAAAAACAATTTATTATAATTTGTTATTAATGTACTTGTTTATTATAGCACTGTGGGCCCTTGAGGAATGAAATTTCAAATCCTGTCAATGGTTCACGCATATTGCAGAATTGACAAAAAAAAAGTTTGACTTGTCATTTCAAACAATGTTTTGGCGGGGAGGCATTCAGCATTTTTTGGCCTCGTCATCATATTCTAACCCAGCAGCCAGAAAACCATAAATGCAGAGCATACTTGTAACTGATATGACATCACACTGCTTCCCGTTGGTACACATACACTATGTGCTCACATACAGCAAGATGAAGACTGGTTGTTTTCACCAGGTAGATGTAAGAAGTGTTTAGCGCACACTAATTTGCAGGCTTGGTGCAACCTTCGCCGTCAAAATGTCATTAATGTTGCTTTCATACAACAGCTACAAGAAATAGTTTGACTATGACTAATTATGAAAAGAGTATTGAAATGAAGTCCAGTTTATGCATTATTTGAAAGAGGTCTTCAGTGAGGGATATTTATTGACACAACTCATCTCTCACCCTTACAACTGAAACACTCACAGGTACATCTGAATCGCCCGCCGTCCCACCCCAGTTCATGCGCACAACTAAACTGCTGTCATACACTACTGAAATGCCCTTCTGAACTACAGTACTGAAAAGGTCTCATACATGCTACTGAAATGCTCTTACTGTCAAGACCAGGGGTGTCAAACATACGGCCCGCGGGCCGGAACTGTCCCCCAAGGAGGTTTGATCAGGCCCTCAGGATAATTTAAAAGTGAAAAAATGCATAAAAGACACGGATATATATATATTTTTTAATAAGGTGCAATTCATGGAGTATCCGCTAGGGGACACGCTGTTTTGATCAGAGTAGAAGACAACATTGTTTTGGTCACAGAGGAAGACAACAGCAGCCTCAGTCTGTCACTGAAACAGACCCAACACAGCAGACGCTATCAAGGACATGTGAATACTTTGTTCTTTACACATTTTATAGCACTCTCCTTGTTTGTAAAGTGTAGGCAGAGATTACATTGAGATTTTATATATGCACATGTGTAAATGGTTGAAAAATTCCTTTCTTTATAAATCTCGTTTAATCTTAAAGTGCATCACTATATTTTTTAATACCAATTACTTGTTAAAGTTGTGCGCCTTTGTACAATCAGCAGGATCAGTTGCAGTGCATATATGTGAATGATAAAAATGAATTCACACATTTGTCTAAGGAAATCTAAGGTGCTTCATGAAATGTTTTGTAAAAGATATGTTCATTAAATTTCAACACCTACCTAATGTTCTTGTGCTTCTTTAGACCAAAACAAAGGAAAGACCTATTATTTTGGTTATTTATAGCAGAGTATGGTATAATTTTAATGGTCCAGCCCACTTGACATCGACCGAGGCCATATGTGGCCCACAATGTGAAATGACTTTGACACCCCTGGTCTGGACTGCTAAAATGCCCTCAGTCACACTAACGAAGCACTCTCATATGTACTATTAAAACGCTCTCATGAACACTATTGAAAATGCTCTCATACTTGACTGAAGTGGTCTCATACACACTACTCAAATGCATCTTCCAGTCCAGTATATCAAACGTTTATTCGATATGACGTGTGAAAGGATTTCAGTACTGTGTGTGAGAGTGTTTTCTGTGATTGAGAGTGTGTCAGTCGTGTATATAAGCAGAAAAAACAAGGTGTGTGAATGAGGGCATTTCAGTGTTTTTTTTTAAGTCTGTTTCAGCAGTGTGCCTGAGAATTGAATTACGTCTCTCGCGGCCATCAATATTCTTGTCTACTTTTCTTTTCCATAGTGGTATTTGCATAGGCAAAATATCTGAGTGCGCCTCTGTTCTGTGTCATTCATCTGACAGGGGAAATACTTTGAGATTCAGTTCAGCAGGGGGGGAGAACCCGACGGGGGCAAAATCTCCAACTTTCTGCTGGAGAAGTCGAGGGTGGTGAGCCAGAATGACAGCGAAAGAAACTTCCACGTTTATTATCAGGTCGGATAAAGGGCATGCATGATGATATGAAGTCACATGTTCCCCATGCTTCCAGGCATCAAACTTCCTCTTCGGAAAATAAATTGTGACTGTGCTGTCCTTTGCACTGCCTGCTTGCAGCTGATAGAGGGCGCTAGTGCTGAGCAAAAGGAGGCCCTCGGCATCATGACCCCCGACTACTACTTCTACCTCAATCAGTCTGGAACCTACAAAGTGGACGGAACCAATGACAGCAAGGACTTCCATGAGACGATGGTACACATTCTACACATAATGCAAAAATGGAACACATACACAGGGACAAATCAACCTTCAGCAAAGGTAACAGAGTTTCAGATGAATGAATGGGGTCTGTCAAAAATTTGACATTGTTTACAATATATCTGATGCAATGACATTGTCAAATGGATATATGATTTATAATCAGCAACATTTCACAAATGTTCAATGTGTGTTGCGATACGAGATGTGAACCTTGGATTTTATCTTTGGCCATTTCCAAATCTATTTCCATTCAGTGTATATTTTTGGGGAATTTCCTCAAAAATATATGCTGCACAATCATACGGTGGCGTTTGAGCATAACCTAACACACAAAATGTCATTCTTGACCTTGTGATTAGAAAGCGGATCAGAAAATGGATGGATGTTGGGGCTCTGTGCTATTTCCGCTTTTTGAAAGGGATCGCATCATCGGCGGTGGGCCTGGTTGTTCGCTGCCTCACTTCCCATTGAACCCATGCATTGAGAACAGAAATATGCAAAATCAGTCATTTTAAAGACGAAAGATAAATTCAATATAAAGCTCATCTCAGCGAACTAAAATGGAAAAACATTTCATATGATCATCGTTTTGCTTTGTTTTCACTCTATGCATGAATGTGAGCCTCTGCCTCCCCCAATCAAATGTCCTTGATGTAGTTTTTACACATCTTGTGAACATTTTGGATAATTCAAACAAAATTTGTAGACTGCAAAATGATGTAAAATTGTATGGAACACCCTGATAAAATTTGGAAAAAATATTTTAATGTTTTTTACACCACTCTTGGTTGCATCATTAATATGTCGAATTGATATAAGATAAGCAGATAAGAAAACTATTTGTCCCACAATCGGGAAATTTGCAACAATACATTGTTAAATAAATCGTTCTTTAATTAGATATAACCATTGCTATCTTCATAAAGGCGTCTCGTGTAATATGATTTCAATAGAATGTGCTTGTGTATGGAAGGTTGTGGTCGGTGCTGATGTTAATAGATAACAGGGCCCCAAAGAGGCCCCCTAATGATTTGTGTGTGGTCTCCAGGAAGCCATGCAGGTGATTGGGATCCCAGGTGACATCCGGGCCCAGGTGCTGCAGATTGTTGCCGGCATCCTCCACCTGGGGAACATCAGCTTCATAGAGGCAGGGAATTACGGGCAGGTGGAGAGCATGGACTGTGAGTGGCATTCACCAACATACTGTAAATAGGCGCATGCACACACACGCACACACACACACGCACGCACGCACGCACACACACACACACACACACACACACACACACACACACACACACACACTTGCTCATGCATCATGCATCATGCATGTAAGTGCATATGTAGTCCCTTCGGGAATAAATAATTGGCTTGTTCATCCCAGGAGGGATATGAGTAAATTAGAACACACCAGCACTTGTTTGTCTGTGGTTGTCATGTGGCAGTGCCTTCCTCAACATGAAATGAATGTTTACAACCAGAGGGATCACTCTCAGGCAGGACACTAGACCAGAGATTTGCATTTCAGCCTAACAGCGATGAGGTTTGGTCAGAGCCATTGATTCTGTGGGGCCTTAAGCAAATTAGATATTTGGGCCCACTAGTTCTGCCAATAATTGATTGAATGTTCCAAGTTAAGAAGAACTAAGTGAGATTTTGAATATGATCTAGGGCACATGTGTCAAACCCAAGGCCCGGGGGCCAGATCTGGCCAGCCACATCATTTTATGTGGCCCGCGAATGCAAATCATGTGTGTCAACTTCCATGATCCTTGCTAAAATCTGTACTGAAATGTCAAAATTGTCATGTGTAATAAATAACGTTGAGATTTTGCAATCATTTTTGTTGCTCTGTTAACACTCGCACAAACAATAATTGAACAAACTATTACAGTTGATTTGAATGATTTCAAAACTGGTAATCCATCAATTTGTTGTGTACAAGTAATAATATATAAAGATTAATTTAGTCTCACTGTCGTAACGACCCTCCGAGGGAAGACGTAAGCCCCCAAGTGGCCCGCGACAAAAATGAGTTCGACTCCCCTGATCGAGGCCAAAATATGTCATCATGCAAGAACATCAATGAATAGCGATAAATAAATAAATAAAATACTAAGATGAGAGCGAATAGGGGTTCGAATCTCGCTTCAGTTTTCATGTTTTTTACAAGTACTCCGACTATCTCCCATATTCCTAAAACACTCATGTTAGGTTAATTGAATTCTCCCTAAGTACGAAGGTGAGTCCAGTCCAAGAAGTCAACTGGGTCTTCTGAAACCCTCATGAGTGCTATAGAAAATGTAAAGAGGTCACTCACTGCGGTATAAAATCCTTTGCTGACATCACACCCACATTTATAGTGAGATAAAACAACACGTGTTAATGCTTTCTCTTTGCTTTCACTGCAGTGCTCGCCTTCCCAGCCTACCTGCTCGCCGTCGACCCCAACCGTTTGCAGGAGAAGCTGACCAGCCGTAAAATGGACTCAAAGTGGGGAGGGAAGTCGGAGTCCATCAATGTGACCCTCAATCAGGAGCAGGCCAACTACACAAGAGATGCCCTGGCCAAAGCGCTCTATGCACGCGTCTTTGACTACCTGGTGGAGGTCATCAAACTTAACCTGGAGTTTCAATTATAGACTGATTATTGATTCTTCTGTTTCACTTTATTCTTTATTTATCTCTTCTTTCTGCTGTCTTCGCTTCTATCTGTCCATCTGCCCTGCACAGGCCATCAATAAAGCCATCCAAAAACCGCATGAAGAATTCAGCATCGGTGTACTTGACATTTATGGATTTGAGATTTTCCAGGTAAATTGCACTTTGGCCTGCTTGGCTGATTATCATAGGCCTCCCAATTTAAATGGACTAATCTGGATGAAACATGACAAGGCTATATGTTTCAATAATGATTGATCAGTTTTATCTTTCTCTTCAGAGAAACGGATTTGAACAATTCTGTATCAACTTTGTCAATGAGAAGCTGCAGCAAATCTTCATTGAATTGACTCTGAAGGCAGAGCAGGTGGGTAGCATACTGCTGTTTATGAGGGGACATGTGGACTGGAAATAATGTCAAGGCATCACCCGAAGATCATCACGCTGACTGAGATTACGACGACAATGCAGGGCTGACTATTTTTACAAATCTTAAAAACTAAAGGTGATGGAGCCTTGACAGTAAGTTGTGGAATGAACTGCTTCTTCCTTGGATGTATTTTAAAAAGCAGTTCAAACAAATTTGCTCAGGCAGGAATTCCAGCAAGACTTATTTTTATTTTTATTTTTTTGGGGGGGCGGGGTTGTTTGATTTGATTGGTTTGTGTATTTGGTCTACTGGTTAGTACGTTAGCCTCACAGTGCAGAGGTGCATGGTTCGATTCCGGCTGCAGCCTTCCTGTGTGGCGTTTGCATGTGTGCCTGCGTGGGTTTTCTCTGGGTACTCCAGTTTGCTCCCACATTCCAAAAACATGCATGGCAGGTTAATGGAAAACTCAAAATTGTCCCTCAGTGTGACTGTGAGCATGAATGGTTGTTCGTCTCTGTGTGTCCTGCAATTGGCTGGCAACCAGTTCAGGGTGTAAGTCGCCAAATGCCCGTAGACAGCTGTGATGGGCTCCAGCAAGCCGGCGACCCTCGTGAGGATAAAGCGGTTCAGATAATGGATGGATGGATGGATTTTGACTCTGTGACAACATCCATCGTATTTATCAGTATATTAAAGCCAATGCAGTAATGTCCTTTTGCATAACATGCTATCTCAAATCTTCTGATCACTTTCCAGGAGGAGTACGTTCAGGAGGGCATCAAGTGGACTGCGATTCAATACTTTAACAACAAGATTGTTTGTGACCTGATTGAAAATAAACTGGTAAGCTTCCAAAATGATCACTGATGGATTCCATTTAGCCTTACCAATAATTTCATCTCTGCTTGATCATTGATTTGGAAAAACTTATAGTGCAACAAAAAAAAAAAGTTTTTCAACTTCAATTGTCGCCCAAAACGAATATATTGCTTCCATTCCCGCTCCTTTCAGAACCCTCCAGGTGTGATGAGCGTGTTGGATGATGTGTGCGCCACCATGCATGCCAAAGGCGAGGGCGCAGATGGTACTCTGCTGCAAAAACTGCAGGCTGCCGTGGGAACCCACGAGCATTTCAACAGCTGGAACTCTGGCTTTGTCATACATCACTACGCTGGAAAGGTACTTACTGTGACAGGGACCAATTAGACAGACGGACTCTCCGGTGGCAGCAATACCAAGCGTCTATTTCTGTTCTGAAAATATGCTTTCACTTCAACCTGACCAAGAAGGTGTAAGAATGTTTGTTGGCAATTATTACACATTTAAACTAGAATGGCTGTCACTAGAATGAAGACCGCTGCTAAGTTTAAAAGCGTCCTTCTTGGCAACCAAGAAGGACGCTCGGGACTGACTTATTGTTGAGTTTAGTTTATTTATGGCCTTGACTTGGCTTTTTTCATACAAATATGACATCAAATCAGTGCTACTGTTCGGCAGAGATAAATTACAATGTGTTCCGACTCCATCCCATGCAAATTCAGGTTAGGTAACGACCTACAGCTTACAGTCTTTCTCTTGTTGCCTCAGGTGTCTTATGATATCAACGGCTTCTGTGAACGAAACCGTGACGTGCTTTTCCCTGACCTCATTGAGCTCATGCAAAGCAGTCATCAGTGAGTCTCCTCCGCCAATATACTCTTGCTCACTACGCAGCAACATAACAGCCTGGTGTAAAAATGTCGTCAATATTGTTTACGGCCTCGACAGTGACTTCATCCGCTATTTGTTCCCCGAAAACCTCAACACAGACAAGAAAAGTAGGCCGACTACAGCAGGATCCAAAATCAAGGTGAGAATGTCAAGGAGAACCGAAGACAAGTAGAAATTCAGTTTTTGATAAGGTCTTTTACTGTTCACACAGAAACAAGCAAATGATCTGGTGAACACGCTTATGAAATGTACTCCTCATTACATCCGCTGTATAAAACCCAATGAGACAAAAAGGCCCAAAGACTGGGAGGAGAGCAGGTTGGCGCCATCTCACACACACACACACACACACACACACACACACACACACACACACACACACACACACACACACACACACATTCCAAACCATTTTTTAATTTCTTTTTGATGTAATTTCAGGGTTAAGCATCAGGTGGAATACCTCGGACTACGAGAAAACATCCGCGTACGGAGGGCTGGCTTTGCATACCGCAGGGTCTTCACTAAATTCCTGCAAAGGTCTGAAAAAGCCCCTTTAGAACCATTTTGGTTCAGTTTGCACTTTTTGATTGTGGAGCAGAGCAAAATAACTGATTTGTACTGCACCACTATTTTGCACCCAACTTACTCTGCCTCTTAAAGAGTGACCTAAGAAGACAAAATCCTGCATTATGATCTGTTGTTAATTGACCTACATATTACCTTGCTTTTCCTCATTGGACGGTTAAACACTGGCGCCTAACCACGGCGTCACGCACTGTTTACACAGTCGCTATGATCTGAATTGATCTGAATCGAACTGAACTGTACCCCGTGTTTGCAAAGTGACTATAACTGTAATGCACAATTTTGAAAGCAGAGCATGCTGCAAGTCTGACTTTTACTTTGTGTTACACCGGATGTTTGTGTGTCCAGGTACGCCATCCTGACTGCTGAGACATGGCCACGCTGGAGGGGTCCAGAGCAGCAGGGGGTCCTTCACCTCCTCCGGTCTGTTAACATGGATAATGACCAGTACCAGATGGGCCGTACCAAGGTCTTTGTTAAAAACCCAGAATCGGTAATTAAGAAGAAATATTGTTTCTGCACTTTTTAAAAAATGTAGGCATGTGCTTGCAGTTTTGAACTGTCTCCACTGTACTTCCTGTCTGTGTAGAACAGGGGTGGGCAACTGGCAGGGATGTGGTCCTCGACAACACTCTGAGTGGCCCCTTTATTTATTAGTATTTTTTAATGATTTTTTTTTTTTTTTTGATAAACCAAAACGAATGTGCTTATTTTGTTGTTTGCTCCAAACCATTTGTTTTTGGTTTAGGATTGTGGATCTTTTCTACATCCATTGAAAAATGCATTATCAAAACTGAAGTATACGAAGAGCATACATTTTGCTCATATGCATATCGTTTGTCCATATTTAAAATAGCATTTTGGACATACATCTGCTTAGGTAGTTGCGTTGTCCTACAATACGTGGCCAGTATTGCTGATGAAAAATGATGGCCCCTGCAGCGCTAAAGCTGCCCATCCCTGGTGGAGAAGATGGTAAAATAGTGCTCAACAAACAATGTCATGATGAAAATACACAATGTGTTCTCTTTAGCTGTTTCTTCTTGAAGAGATGAGGGAGAGAAAATTTGACACTTTTGCCAGGACCATTCAGAAAGCCTATAGAAGATACATTGCCAGAAAGAAGTATGAGCAGATGAGAGAAGAGGGTAGGTTTCCAAGCAACAACGTATAAATAATTCATCACAGTAAGGGGGCTGTTCAACACATTCACAAATCATTATTCCTCGTCTATTCTGATATAACAGCTTCAGACATCCTCTACAACTCGAAAGAGCGGAGAACAAACAGTATCAACAGAAACTTTGTGGGTGACTACCTGGGGCTGGAACAGAGGCCTGAACTGAGACAGTTCCTGGCCAAGAGGGAGCGGGTTGACTTTGCTGACTCTGTCAACAAGTTTGATCGGAGGTTCAAGGTGAGTCGTTGGACTTACATGTGTCCTGTATTAAAGAGAAGTTTATCAGAATATTTGGAAATACCAGCAGTTACCAGAGACGACACCTCCTGGCAGGAAGAGGCTTTTCATTCTAACTTTTCTCATTTTTCTCACAACCCAGTCCATCAAGAGAGATTTGATCTTGACAGCCAAGGGGATCTATCTGATTGGTCGAGAGAAAGTGAAGAAAGGTCCGGAGAAAGGGCAAATAAAGGAAGTGCTGAAACGAAAGCTGGAGTTTGGAAGCATAAATGGCATCTCACTCAGGTAGAGACATTGTAAATGTTGTTTCAAGACATCTCAGAATTTCAGTCAGATTTCAACAAAAGCTGCTTTGAGCCTTCCAAAAGCATGCACGTTAGTTAGGTTCATTGAAGACTCTAAATTGTCAATATGTGCGAACGTGAGTGTGAATGGTTGTTTGTCGATACATGCCTTGCAATTAGCTGGTCATCCGTCTATACAATACAATACATCTTTATTTATATTTCACTTTCACAACAGCTGCAGTGGAAACAAAACGCTTAATAGAACAGTTAACATAAAATAACAAATTATGGTAAACAAGACATGGACAGGCATGCAATCGTAACCACTATTCCTGCATACGCCTTGTTGTTTGAAGCAATTATAGATGAAAGAGGAGAAAATCAAAGTGTCCTTTCACCGGTGGATCACATCTGCTACAAGCTAAGTTTGAAAGTAAACAAGAATCTGTAGCGTCCATTGACGAAAAAAGAGATTTGTTCATCTCTCCTGTCCCATGTAAATCCGCTTGAATTCCAAGCGCCGACTCTCGGTTCCAAATACGCATCTGCGCTCTACACCGATGCTCTCCTCATCCTCAGCTCCAGTAGTCATTCATCGGGCGTCATGAGGTGCACTCATGTGATCACGTGACAAAACTGCAAAGGGTCAACAGTCGCCATTACCTCTCTTTCCTTTATCATCTCAATAGTATTTATAATAGCAACATTGCCACCTAGTGTACAGTCAGAGAACATAACGGAAGTGATCCACGTTTGTGAGACAAATAACATACACTTCCATCGGACATTCATAATTTATTTTCCCAAACCACGCAGAGCCACACCATAAGAATGAAAGAGCCGCATGTGGCTCCGGAGCCGCAGGTTGCCAATCAAGACTCTTGAGTGTGTGTACCCCACCTTGACCCTATAAGGACAAACACTATAGAAAATATATTGATGGATGGATGGCTGAGTACTTGTTATATTGTTTTAACGTTGTACTTTCTTTTTGAATTTGAATGACAGATACAAATCTTAAAATGTGACTTAAAATATTTCCATTTCAAAATTAAAATACATTTAAAAGTGAAATCAGTTTGAGGCCGGACCGGTGGTCCATTGGTTAGCGTGTCGACCTCACAGTGCAGAGGTTTAATTCCAGCTCCCTGTGTGGAGTATGCATGTTCTCCCCGGGCCTGCATGGATTTTCTCCGGGTACTCCGGTTTCCTCCCACATTCCAAAAACATGCATGGCAGGCTGGTTGAGCACTCTAAATTGTCCCTAGGTGTGGGTGTGAGCGCGGATGGTTGTTTGTCTCTGTGTGCCCTGTGATTGGCTGGCAACCGGTTCAGGGTGTCCCCCGCCTACTGCCCGAAGATGGCTGGGATAGGCTCCAGCACCCCCCGCGAACCTTGTGAGGATAAAGCGGATCGGAAAATGGATTGATGGATGAAATCAGTTTGCCTGCTAAATACCTGGACTTGTTATTTAGGTGTTCCACTATATGTATATTTGTTTCGTTTTTTTAAGGTCTGTCACCCTCTAACACAAATGTATCTACTTAAGTAATTAAACGAAATGAATTATCAAATATATTTGAAAAATAATGAAAAATAAACAAGGAATCTGAGGAAAATCAACATTACCACCAACACAATGCTAACTCTACTGCTCTCATTTTCATTACTTTAAAAATAGCACAGCAATAGAAAGAAAATGTGGACTGTATTGTTGAAATACATTAGAGTTCTTTCATGGCCTTGTGTAATGAAATACTAATGGCATGATGTTGGTTTGTTTTTAGTACGAGACAGGATGACTTTTTTATTCTGCACGAGACGCAGTACGACAGTCTGCTGGAGTCCAACTTTAAAACCGAGTTCCTCAGCTTGTTGTCCAAACGCTATGAGGACGTGACGAAGAGAAAACTTGCAATATCCTTCACCGACAGGTAGAGAGAAAACACACACAAAGATTTGGTTGACATACAAAAATCACATACATGAACTCCATTTGTTCTCTGCACAGATTAGAGTACAGAGTGAAGAAAGAGGGCTGGGGTGGAGGGGGCTCCAGAGTGGTGATGTTCCAGAATGGAATAGGGGACCAGGCCCAGCTCAAACCTACAGGAAAGACTCTCACCATCACAATTGGGAATGGGTTACCAAAATCTTCCAGTAAGTGTATTCTATATAAATAATACCATTAATGTACATTCAAAACATGAAACATTTGTTTAATCAGAACCAACAAGGAAGGGTGGTCAACAGTCACGTGGTGGAGGCCGGAATCACAGAGCGAGCAAAGGTAAAGTCCTGCCTCAAATATGTGTATTGCTTGATTTATGCAGCAATTAGGGGCTGAATACAGTCCATTCCATGACACTGGTTGACCTGCAGCTTGGTGCGATTTGGAAACCATTTTTGTCCATAGGACATACAAATAATCCTTTTCTGGGTCAAACTGTCACCATCATGAAACCTTTATCAACTGTACAGGCAATTTTATCATTTTAACCTTTTGAACTGTTATACCAGTGTTTAAAAAAAAGTTAACCACTGCACGATACAAATACATTAAAACACTCATGGCTGTATTTTAGTGATCAGTGCATGCAGAAATGATTGCTGTAAGTTTCGCTGGGCCTGTTTGCAGGTTTGGAAGATCAGTCTGCACCACACTAGGATTAAAATGGGTGATAATAAGGATGCCGTGTTTAGACTTTTGGGGGCGTATGGAAAATATTGTGAAGAAAATGTTTGACTTGGCTTCCAAATACTGTGTATCTTTATTCATCTGTCTTTTTTTGTAATGTATAGTACAGGCGGAACAAACCATCAGATGCACTTCTATTACATTCGATGTCAATGTGTACAATAAATGTGTGTATCCACCTATTCCCATTCAACAGAATGAGTCATGGCATATAAAATGTAAGATTTGTGCTCAAACAAACAGACCCACATTTAGTATGTCAATTTGTGAGTCATTTGAGGCAAGATCATCATTATTTCAGCATTCATGTTTTTTGTTTGGGGCTATGTTCCGAGATTTTTCTCATTGGGTGAATTAAGGTTGGGAAACAATGCTTTGGAGTGTTATTTTTCTTCTCAAAATACACGCTACATTGTTATCTGTTATTTGGAAGATTGGTCATGCAACTATTCCATTTTTTCGCAGCACACCAGAATGGAGCGACCAAGTTCTCCAGAGTACCCAAACAATCGGATATTATGTATTCCTCACCGCATACACAGAGCAGACCTCCTCAAACGGCCCTGCCCAAACTGGGCTTTCAGAGAGCTCCCCGGATCCCAACCCACAACCACAGTAACCAAGGAAACATGGACTTCCTTAACGTGCCTGACGAGGGCATGTCAGGGTGAGAAAAGTTGGAAATTAAAAAAAAAAAAAAAGGCAGTTCACACTGAGATATAATGTATACGGCACATTAAAATATATTTCGTCATCAATTGTTCTGGTCAGAAAACACTTGAAATGTTCAACTCTATACCAAAAAGTATATGTCAATAATTAATTAATGAAACCAAAATAAATGGCCATGAATTACAAAAGTAAATAAATAAAAAAAGTTAGAATTCTATTCATATTCATTCTTGTCAGACGTTTTCCTCCAATTGCATATTGTGAGTGAAATATAAACCGCTGTTTATTATTGGCTCCAATTCACGACAAAATTCGATAGAACGGCAGTGTGTACTGATTTTAGGTCAATATTCAATATTTATTTGTAGAACAATTTAAAATGTTCATTATTTCGAGGGCAATGGTGACCAATTTAATTAAAGTTCTGGACACATAACATTTGGAGCACAATAATTTAACCTTGAAGTTAATTAAATATGTTTTCGTTTTACTGCCATCTAAGAGACCAAAGCTAGTGTTTAGGACGCGGATTTAAAATGCAGTTCGGGAGTAATGTCACATGAAAGCTGCTTGTTCATCCATGCAGCAATGTTTGCTTTATTATTTGTAGCAATCCATTAATTGCCCATGGCACATAATTGTCAACATGAAATGGGAAAGCTCAAATCAAGCATCTACTGCATAAAGACATTATTTTGCGGAGAGTTTGTCATGTACCTCTCTCTCACTATTCCAGGAAACAAAGGAAGCAGAGCATCGGTCAGCGGCCCCCTCCTGCACCCAAACCTCAGCCTCGCCCTCAGGGACCCCGCTGTCGGGCCTTATATCAGTACATTGGCCAGGACACCGACGAGATCAGCTTTGAGTACAATGATGTGTTTGACCTTGTCAAAGAAGGTGTGTGGAGCATTAAGATGAAGGATGGAGAGTGGCTACATGTTATCTACACCACTACAAGTTAGGCCTTGCAGATTGACTTAATGTGGACCTTCAAAAAGCAAAAAGCACTGGAATTTTGAATAGTTGGAACTTGGACATGTGCATTAAAGTCACTATGTTACAGTACATATTTGGTTCATACTGACATTTCACACCCAATAATTTGTGAGTAGTGCATATATGAGATGTGCAGCTAGAGTTCCTTTTAAAGTGCTCTGTCAAAAAAGTTGCTGACATGTAGTTACTATCGTTGTGTTGTTTCATTTTACAGATCCATCGGGTTGGTGGACTGGCAGAATTCGAGGAAAAGAAGGTCTCTTCCCTGGTAACTATGTGGAAAAGATTTAACTGGGACTGATTGTTAAGTAAGTCTAACTTGGTTGAGTCCATGCTCTGGAGACCGAAGGCAGTGCAATTCTGTTCCCGACAGTCAAAACATAGCCTGTACGACCACACGTGTTAGGTTTCATCTGTGTTGTTGTCTGGAACTATCTTGTTCAAAATGACGCAGCAACAAGATCTTTGACGACTGGCCCCCACTTGCCTTGATACCTGCCTTTCAGCTTTCTATGGACTTAAGTTTCAGTTACAGGCCATCAAGTAAGACGAGCCTAATTGCTGCATTGCATTAGGGTGTCAACACTGTTTACATCCGTACTTTGTGTTGGACTCCATTGTTTGTGTTTTTATGATGAAAAGAGCAACCTAACAGTTTAAACATAGACATAATCTGAGGAGATATTAAAGCATTTTGCAGATGAGCTGTTTGTGGCGCCTTTGTGTTTTACCTCTTCTCAACAAAATAGATTGATCATAACAAAGCACAATGACTGAAAAATGTAACACACACACACACACACACACACACACACACACACACACACACACACACACATACACACACACACACACACACACACACACACACACACGAGACATGCATGAGACAAATGGTGTTCACACCAGATCCTGCCTGGCTTTAAGACCCCCGGAGCCCGTCAATGTTGTAAAACTGTACATTTTGAAAAGGCTTTTGATTGTGAGCAGCCCAAGGCACAACTGTACAATAATCATGCTATCTATTCCGCATCTTGATAAGACACATGTGAGGTGGATGATTATCTTGGCAAGGAGTGCATGAAATGCTCACCAATATTAGTTAGTTAGTTAATTGTTTAGTGAACATACAATACAATAACAATTGACAAAAGGCAAGCAAAGTTACAAAAGGAAAAATAAAAATAAAAGTAAATAAAACAAACATCATCACCGTTATATGCTATATAGATCTAGACACATCTTTTTTGTAAGCAATATTTGAGAGTAATAGTCCTTTTGTGTCCAAAGGGAAAGTCTTCGGTCCTTGAGTTCAGGCTCAGCTCATGAAAATTGAGAGCAAAAACAAATTTGTGTTGTGTTTAAATATTTGTTCAGCATATAATATATGTTAAAAGGATTCAAATTGCTATGTAACAGATTGTAAATATACTGTATATCCCCATTACATGAGGAATACACACACACACACACACACACACACACACACACACACACACATGCTCAAACAGAGGAACAGGCAGATGGACCGGTTGATCCTCCTTTCCTCACGAAGAATTATACAGAGATGTGCTACTGCACCTGTTACTCGTATCTGTGGTTTTACTTCATAATGCTGTCCAGCAAAGAAACCTTAAAAGGAGGGGGGGGGGTGCTGCTTGGTCCTTCCACATGGATTGTCTAGCGCCATTAAAATGCAGCACGTGCTCGTCAGTGATGTCACAGTCTGGTGCGACAGGATTGCGAGCGTTTTGATGCTCCACCCTGCCAAAATTCACCTGTTGAGTCACCTGGAACCTTGCAGCACTTCTAAACTGGATGCACTGGAAGCAAGAAGTTGGGCATGGGAGGTAGGTCAAATATTCCCAACACTGTCCGGGTTACAAGAGGTGTATTGCATATTGGTGCTGCCACTGTAAACTAAGATAGGAAACCACAAACTTGAGCTCATCCATCTTGATTGAAAGGTCGGGCAGTCTGTAGCAAGATACAGTAGATACAAAGTAGTAGTAATAGAAAAATGTGAATCTATTCTAATCGGATCTTATCTAATTTTCCATCATTTCGACTTTCTACGGAACCATACTGAGTGAAAATGCAGTGTACAGGGTTTCTTCCGCGTGTTTTTTTTTTCCATCTCAAGACAAGAATACTTTATGGATATTGCAATAACCTCCATTTGCTTTATTTGATAGTTATTTGTGGTTCTAAAATTGGTTAAATCCTCCCGATACCATTTTGTGTCTTCGACAATGGGATTGTTAGCAGTGTTTTCATTCATTGCAGTACATAAAGGCTTTGTGAAAGTAAGCAAATGCATATTTGAATCCAGGGGCATGAAGGGAGGGTCAATTTCCATAAACCACCAAAAATGACTCCCCTAGTCCACCTGTGTGTGTGTGTGTGTGTGTGTGTGTGTGTGTGTGTGTGTGTGTGTGTGTGTGTGTGTGTGTGTGTGTGTGTGTGTGTGTGCGCGTGCGTGCAGCTGACCATTTATTGTCCAGGTTTTTGTTTATCTGAGTTTCTGTCTATCTGTCCGTCAGGGTTCTACTCAAGTGAAAGGATGGCTGGAGTTTTCTCCTATGAGAGCTCAGAGATTGATTGGTGTGAAGACAACTACAAACATTCTGAAAATGTGGTGGAGTTCTTTAACACTGTAAGATACTTTATAGAGCTTCTTCATCGCTGATTATTGACAATCTAAAACAAGGATGGGAAATCCTGGTGGGCTTGATTGTATTCAACGGTGAACATTTTTTTTTCTTTCTTTTTTCCTCATAGATGAGCAGCTTCATTTTTTTCATTATATCTCCCATCATGCTCTACCTTCTTCACCCTTACGCCAAAGAGAGGAACTTGGCAATCCATCTCGTCTGGGTCATGATGTTATTTGTGGGTAAGTCATTTGTCTTACATGAATCCTGAATTAAATTCCCTGTTGACCTGATCTGCTCAGGGAAAAAAAAGTCAGGTCTGACAATCCTAATTGTTAAACCTATCAATCAACATTGACGATCAAAATCCATTTGAGTATGGTCAATACTGAGCATGGTCCGATGCCCCGAAGTGACCTGATGCATGTGCTGTTGCTGTAGTTAAAAAATGGAAGAGCGTATGTTTGAGATGAGGGCTTGTATAACGCAAGTCCCATCATTCATCACAATAGAAATGACAAGGAGGAGGGTTTGCCGCACAATGTACATTAGTTATAAGATATGCAAAGAGTTAGCCTACGGCTTCTTCTACTTCTACATGACGACTACTACTCTAAGTAGTACTCCTTTCTTTGTTTTTTTTTTCTGAACGGACGTGCGGCAACATGCCGCCTGTCATAATTCAGTTTTACTACTGCACTCGACCGATGTGTTTAGGCGACGGCATTTGTAATTTTTTCGCTGGAGGTATTCTTAAGTGTGTGCTGGGGAGCAGTGACAACACGCGGCGATTTATTTTGTCTTTCACATTTTAAATATCGGTTAAGATTTTAAAAATCAGTCGACTTGTACGAGGCTTCTCTCAGCTTTCCTCATTTTTTTCCCCATCACTTTTTGTCACTGAAACGGCAGAGCCTCTGCTGTTTGTAACACTCTAGTTGTTAGCACTCTAGCTAGCACTCTAGTTTCAAAGACACTATTAAACAATATTTTCCACTCAATCGACAGAATTCTTCTGATAATCGATATTTCTAATCACTGATTATGATGTCTTGTCTTTGATACTCCTAAAATCATCATTTCTATGTGATGGGAGCAGGTCAAATGAGGCTTTTTGCTGACTAGGTTTTTCCTTCTCTCAGGTATCTTTTCTGCCTATTTCCACATGACTCTCAGTTTTGTTGGCCAGATGCTGGATGAGTTGTCAATCTTGTGGGTGTTGGCGGTGGGATACGCCATATGGTTCCCACGCAGGTTGTTCCCTTCTTTTATAAAGGACAGGTAAAGCAACAACAACGCAACAGCTACTGTATTACAATCTGTGTGATCATTCAGGAGCTTGCTCGCTTTAATGCCTTCTGATAAAAGGAAAAGCTACTCATTCATTATACACACACGTTGCTCTGAAACCTAACCTGTGCTGGCGGAGGAGCCTGTCTGACAGCTCCAACAGGAGTCACTGTCAATAAGACACAATACAGCGTTGCCACCTGAAACACAAACTGACAAAAAAAGGCCTATTACAATGGAGCTCTGCCTTAACCTTTCATAATAATTAACCCTCAGATAGCTTGAAAAGGTAAATGCATTTTTAAACAATGCCTGAAACTATTTTGCCTGTCTGTATTTTATTTTTTTTTCCTTGAAGACTTCCCTGTGTGTCATGAACAGGTCCACCTTCTCAAGGCTCATCCTGGTGGTTACTGTCGCCACTTCAGTGTCCTCCTTTGTCAAACCGACTGTCAATGCCTATGCGCTCAACTGCTTCGGCCTGCACATGCTATACATTCTGGCTATTGAGATGAGATGGTAGGAGGCTAATTACAGATTGAATTTTGAAATCACAGCTTTTCTGGTATGAAGTATGACTTTTTCTGCTTCCCCTGTGGTTGAGTAAGTTTTATAGTACCGTAATAAGGTACTCTACTCCCTATTGAGACTTTTTCATCATCAAAACCAGTTACTACAAGGTGCTATTTCTAGTACTTGGTCATCCAGGGTTCAGAATAACAATTAAGTTAAGAGCTACCATTGACTGGCAACCAGTCGAGCGTGTACCCCGCCTATGGCCCAAAATCAGCTCAACAGTTACTTTAATGAGGACAAGACTACAGATAATGAATAGAAGGATAACGTTTCTAAAAACTTGGTAAAAGTAGGAAGTCGTGGCGATGTGCGAAGTAAGCAGGGCAACATTGAGTTATGCATGGATGCACAGATTCGCATTCATGAAAACGACTTGATATCACTGAGACAAGAAATAAAAGTCGTGTTGGCTGGCAACCAGTTTAGGGTGTACCCCGCCTACTGCCTGAAGACAGCTGGGATAGGCTCCAGCACGCCCGCAACAGTTGTAATGATAAACAGTTCAGATTATGGACGGAAGGAATAAAAGTGTGTAACAGTAAAATTGGGTCTTTAATGTGGTTATGATTTATTTTGACATTAAATACCACTCTTTCTGCTTCAACATTCAAAGTATGTTAAAAAAAACAGTTAATTTGTCAATGAAATTTGGAGTGACTCTAGGACGTTATAACAGACTGATCTGCATACTGTAGGCAAAAGCAGAATGGCAAGAAATACAGCAGATCCTAGCATCTCAACAATCAATTTAGTGTTGTTGTTCGTTAGTGTGTCTCATTCCGACTGATACATTCAACGTGGCGTGGTTTTCCCAGTTTTCTGCGACAGCTTTAGAATGACAAAAAGTGATAGAAGGGACATGCTGTGAGTCAACTGGCCTGGTATGGATATTAAGTTAAAATTTGACTCAGTTGAGATGAAAGTGGAGCTTGGTTGGTTCACATTCAGACTTGTCAAATGACTTCTCTTTTAGGACCGTTGATCTTCATTAAATACAATACATATTATTTCCAGATTACTTTCCACAGAACGATCAGTTATGGCCAGAAAAGCAATGGCAACACCACAAAATCATAGCACTTACTACTGTGACTACTTCATGATTTTCATAGCTCCCAGGAGGCACATATGTATTGTTTCTGAAAATTGCTCAAATATGCTCTGGAGTAAACATGAGCCTCACAGACTGTTTGTCTTGGTATTTCTGAGCATTTACATACTTTAACTAATTGATAGTGACGTAATTTTCTCTGATCCTATTTATTTAGCTGTACTGACCAGAAGGCTTTGAGACTGGCCAAATGGTCAGTGGCTTTGTGGATCCTGGCTATCTCCTGTTGGATTAGTGATCGCTTTGGCTGTGGATTTTGGCAGAGGATAAACTTCTGTTATTTGCACAGTATCTGGTAAGTTTGTGTGCTGTGTGCCTCATGTATTGTAAACCCTGAGTTTCTGATCCACTTGGACTATCCCTCAGGCACATTTTGATTGTCATCGCTGTGGCATATGGGAGTACGCTGATAGCCTACCTGGATGCCAACTACGAGATCCCCTACTCATTGCCTGGACTGCAGTACTGGCCCTGTGATAAATTGGCACTTGGATTACCTCATATTGTCCTGAAAGGCACGACCAAGACGCTCAAACGGTGCTAATGACTTTCACAGTGGACAGTGCATTTTTGCACTTAAATTATTTGAGATAACTGATGGCAGGCCAGCATTGTATCTCACTCTGTAGCCTATCTATAAATAATAACAAATGTAATTGATAAAAATAATAGTAATAAAGTAGTAATAATAATAATGGCTTTTTAAAAATATTGGCTTTACATTTCAGAATCATGCATACATACATACATACATACATACATACATACATACATACACCTCATATATACCATGATCTCACCAGACACTTTATTATAGGTAGCCTACATGTACTCACATACTCACATATGGTTTGTATCGAATGAGAGATTCCAAAAAGTTGGCACTCGTGGCTGAAAAAAGAAAAATGAAAAAAACTTTCAGTGTGATGCTGTGCAATTTTACAACTCTTTTATAAGATACAATGTTAAACAAATGGCTCTCTCAGAGTGTCAATTGAAATGAAAAAAAATTTTTTTTCATGAATATTTATTAAAGTTTGAGTATTCAAATGGTTATTCATGAGTCTAGATTACATTTATCTTTTCCCAATACTTGAATGTCTTTTAAGATCCAAATGTGGTTGTATTCAAAGCTTGGTCACAAAATCAACCTCCATCCAAATCATGTCAATATACTGTACTAGATTCTCTGTAATAAGTTATTGTACAAGTGAACCTGTGCGATTTGAATGTTTGTCTTGTTGCAAATAAGTTTCAGGCAGTTTTGTTTCAATAATTTATTTACTTTCAGTCCGTAGATTCAGATATGCATTTCATTAAGTGTTGAATGTTTTTGATAGCATTATTACTCCTGCCATCACAGCATTGAAATAATACGTTTGCATGTGTTTAGTTGGAGTTGTAATGTAGCTCATTGTGTGATGTAGTGCTGGAGTTGAATTCTCTTCCAAAATAAAATGTATCACAGCTACATAGAAATCACATTTCCTGGTCCTGATATTCTGTGCATGATGTTGAACGTTACAACAATGGATATAAACCAAATGATGGAAATGGAAAGAATCAAGATTTTACTCCATGTTAAGGCTCAACAGTGACCTCACATGGACTCATGCTGGCATTGTTAAAAAAAAAACTGCATCTTGAATCAATTATAGTAATTGCTGAATGGTTGGTCCCTAAATGGGTGAAATATGAGAGTTAAAAGAGTACCTAGGTCTAATTTGACTTTTTGGTGCATCTGTAAAGGAAGATTACTACGAGGATGGATGGCAAAAAACATGACCGATATTTTTTGACATTATTGACATGGTATTAAGGTCTTAATGGTGGTTTTGTTCGATAAAATCCAGATTTTTCGTGAAGCTAATAGAATTGTTGATGATCCCCAAAAACTTATTTGCTATAAAAGTGAAAGTAACAAAGAACAACACTCACCTAACAATTTGCAACACATTGTATTGTTCCTAATTTTTTTTTTGTTCTGTAACATTACAAGGTTAAATTACAAAAGAACTTGATTTATACTTTCCAGGTTGATGTCTCCATAAAAGTTTCACACCAGTTCAGCACAATGGACGGCAGAAGGTCAGACAAAAGACAAACAGACTGACTGACAGACAAGCCAGAACGAATGTGGTGACCTTTTGAGCCAAAGCTGAGGCACAATAATCTCACATCAAAGTCTAGCCCCGGAGACTTCTCAGCAGTGGGCGCCTACTCCCTTTCTTCAAACAAAAAAATCACCACACACTTTTCACTGATGAACTTTCAGCATTAGAAACTTACTTTTAACTATAGACAAAAATCTTATGAAGTTTGATTGATTTTGATTGATTGATTGATTGACTGAAGTTTATTTCGATCGGGCAGTCATAAGACAATATGACAATTTAGAGTGTTCCATTAACCTGCCATGCAGGTTTTTGCAACATGGGAGGAAACTGGAGAACCCAGAAAAAAACCCACGCAGGCATGAGAAGAAGCTCCACACAGGAAGGCCGGAGCCAGAATCGAACCCTGCACCTCTGCACTGTGAGGCCCATGTGCGAACCAGTTGGTCACTGTGCCGCCCTAATATGCTCTATTATAATAGAATAAGTTGAGAAACAACTGGCCTGTGTTTTTCCATGCATGGAATGCTTCACAAAGCACATCTCAGCAAAGGAAATTTGTGTGTGCATTGTACTCTTTTGAGGTGTAACGCCAAATAGAAAGTATTTATTTCTGTTGCCATGGATGTCTCTTTTTTTTATCTATAGTGTATAATAAGATATGTATTTTGCAAGTAGCTGTTTTTATCATGTGTCTTGCTGTGGTTTCAGGGATACGATAAAATAAAGGGGTACAATCAAGGTTTTCTTATCTAGAGGGAATCCTCTGTGATCATTTTTAATTACACACGCCTTCTGATGTGCGTGCCTTGGCCACCAAGGGACAGTATAATACAGGTGTACATAATACACGAAGAAGAGTTTTAACAACTCAGTGACTCATTAAGGTGCATCTGTATTTGTCACTGTCATTTACATAGAACTCTATGTCTGTAAGTATTGTTATGAAATGTACTAAAATGTGATAGTGAGCCAGTTTGACCTCTGATCCGTGTTGGTGTTGATTGATGTTACTGTGTTCTGTCAAGCCAAATAACATCCAATATTAAACAAAGTGAAGGAGCCAAAACACACAAGATAATCTTTTGTTTGAACTTTAGTGTCACAGAGCAGATCAAGGAAGGCAGTGAGCATTTCAGTGGTCAGCAAAGCTGATGCGGAATAATTTACTACTTAAATTTTGGAGAAATCATTGTGAAAAAACAAAAAGTAATTCCAGGATGTTTTCTGTGGGCAATTTCTGTTGAATAACAGATTAAAGAGTAAAATATTTTTTTTAAAGGTGTGGCACTGAAGAATGAGAAGCGGCTTGTCTCCCTGATATGTGATGTTTTTATTCTGAGGACAGTTATCCTCAAAAATAAATTTTGTGACAACATTATTACCAATATCTCGTTATATAGATGTTTTATAAGTAGAATGGGAACGTTAGTGGAGAACTGATGAGTTGAGTTAATATTTTCAACGTACAATGGATGGCACACTTCTCACTTGAAACGATGCAATTTCACCCTTTGAATCAATGGGAAAAAGTAGAAAGTAATATTTATAATGAAAAGCCATAATAAAATAGAACAAATTGGTATTTCACTATCATAAACGTAATGGAAATGATTACAATCTTATATATTCTTTTTTTAAAGTCATCATTAAACTGGACTGCAGTAATTATCTGGGTTAACCATGTCTCACTGAGTGTCATACAAAGAATTAAAAAAGGGCAGATCACTGCTTTTTATTATCAATGTCCTTGGATGGTGATTAATTAAAATATTTTGGAATAAAGATGATGTTCATCATTGCTGTGCTGTAATAATGTTTGTCAAGTCAACAATAATAAATTATAATAAAGCTCTTGTATTCAAAATCTTATTTCAAATGATACTTTTGTTCTGTTCCGTTCTTTCTCAATGAAAAGGAGGATTAAAGACTTGATGTCTCAATGTGAGTTAGACAACCACATGTCTGAAAGCCAAGGTGGGATTCCTTCTCCTCTGCTTTGACTCAAAAGCAAACTGGATTATAGAGGAAAGGAAGCATAGCCACAGTGAGAGTGGTGACCTTGTAGGCCAAAGTGGAGACCCAATAATCTCACTTCAAAGTGTTCCACCAGAGAGACATGACACCCTCTGACTGTTAAAGAAAAAAAGGCAGCATTACTCAGAAGAAAAGCTGCTCAAAGTTCTTTTACTTCTTACACAGGAGCATCCTTATTGCCTCAGTAATGTGCCATAGTCCAACTAATAACACTATTCTTCAAATAAAAAACAGCCAGTGATTCCTTTGGCAATTAAAAAGCAGTAATCCACAATTAAGCAAAGAGATGTAGCGATTTATTCTATTTTACTGAAATTTTTAAATTGTTCAGATAAAAGTGCAAAATTTGAGACTCATTTTCTTCTCATATATATAAAACTCGGATGGACTGAAGGTTTTCTGTGACCCTTGTGGACTTTTAGGATGGATGGCATTATGGCGCTTATCATAAATATACTGTATTATTTAGTTCGTGATAGCACCATGAAGAGACATGCTCATCAATAAATTAAATGTAGTAACTTTGCTGAATACATAGTACTGTATAGAATTTGTCATTGCTGTAAGAATGTACAGTATCACTTATCCAAGACAGTTTGTCTGAGTGCTTTATTCTGTGTTAATTTACGAGGGTTGTAATATTTAAGCAACACGTAGTGATGTTCTGCATGGATTATATTATTCATTCTTGTATTATCAATTAACACCATGTGCATTTTACAATTGAATCAGAGGTGCAGCCATTGGGACATATCCCCTGTCACTCGAGAATACCATCACAAAAAGCTTGATTTGTATTTGCAGGAAAGGTCCATGCCCGCCTTCTAATGGGCTTTGATTGGCTGTTTTCAAGAGAGCCGGAAATCCCCGCTCTCCTATTGGCTGCGAGAGCTTTCTGTTTGGGTTGCCTTCCAGCGGATCGTCTGGACGGGGAGGGGGGGCCGTCTGCCTTCCGCTTCTCGGCTGGATTGACACACAATGAGGAGTCAAGGCAGCGTAGACGCTCCATAAACGCCGCTGTAAATAAAAACAGCCATCACTGAGGCCAGTGAAACATGGAAAATCAGGTAGGCTGGCTTCCGTCTCTGCTTTTGGACTCTGAACTTTTCACGGGGAAAATACTGGCTGCTTTCTCGCTGGTTGGGCAGCAATGAATCCTCTGTTGTAGTCGCTTGAAGAGAGCGATCAAGGGAGGGAGAGCGAGAGCGAGCGAGCGAGAGAGAGGAAAAAAAGCGCTGCTTCTGCTGCCGCTGTACAAGTCGTAGTTGTTTGGTTTCTGGAGCTATGCTAGCTGGCCACTCATACATCGGCATTTACCGCTAACTAGCTTCACGCCGACGCGTCCATTCAGCGCTGCTGCGTAGCCCAAGCCACAAACCACCACACAAAGATGTAGCCACCCGGTATTTAGCTTGCTCTATTTCGGTTCCAAGTCTAATGCAATTATGAGTTACCCTGAGAAGCTTTTGAGAGGCGCTTGTGTCCAGCTAAGCTAAGCGAATTCACACAACCACTGGAATATCGGCCCTTGGATAAAGGCTAAGGAACCGCGACAAGGC